CGGTTTGCGTCGGGATCCCGGTTTGCCTGACGACGCTTTGGTTTGCACAGCGGTTGAGGCCGAGCAGGTTGAACGTATTCTGTCGGGCTCTATCCGCCTCCAGAGGGCCGCCCCAGGCAGGCCTGTGCGTGAGGCAGGGCCCGCATCCATATCTTCGCAGAGGCGTTCGATACCTCACACGGCTCGCCGCTGTCGCCGCCGCCGCCGCTCGGGCTCCTCTTCTATCGCGCTGAACCTTGACCTCCTTCTTCTCCTCCTCCTCCTCCTCCTCCTCTCCTTCCTCCTCCTCCTCCTCATCATCATCCCCCTTCTCCTCCTCCTTCTCCTCCTCCTCCTCCGCCCCTCTCCTTCCTCCTCCTCCTCTTCCTCCTCCTCCTCGTCCTCCTCCTCTTGCTCCTCCTCCTCCTGCTCCTCCTCCTCCTCCTCCTTCCCTCTCCCTTCTCCTCCTCCTCCTACCTCCACCTCCTCCTTCCTCCTCTCTCCTCCTCCTCCTCCTCCTCCTCCTCCTCCTCCTCCTCCTCCTCCTCCTCCTCCTCCTCCCTCTCCTCCGTCCTCATCCCCACCTCCTCCCTCGCGCTGTAGAAATTACCCTGGCGACGTACCCAACCCCTGCGGAATGCGGGGCATGAGTAGCTTGGGAGACGTTATACGGAGGTGATGACGTGACACGGGCGCATATACTTCTGCGAGCGGCATGCGTGAGGCTCGCAGCCCCGCAAGGATTGCGATGTCCCGCTCAGATCTGCCTGGTGCCTCGCTCCGCTGAACCCACCACCAGCCTTCGAAAGTTGCGACGGTTTCGTAGATCGCATCCCCCCAAGGACGGCGAGGCCCCGCTCAGATCTGCGCCGTGCCTCACTCCGCAGGACCCACCAGCAGCCCTCGAAAGTGGCGACAGTTTCGCAGATCGCAGCCTCCCAGGCACGGCGACGTCCCGCTCAGATTTGCGCGGTGCCTCACTCCGCAGGACCCACCAGCAGCCTTCGAAAACGGCGACAGCTTCGCAGATCGCAGCCCCTCAGGGAAGGCAAGGTCCGCTCAGATCTGCGTGGTGCCTCACTCCGCAGGACCCACCAGCAGCCCTCGAAAGTGGCGACAGTTTCGCAGATCGCAGCCCCCCAGGGACGGCGAAGTCCCGCTCAGATCTGCGAAGTGCCTCACCCCGCTGGGCCCGCCAGCAGCCCTCGAAAGTGGCGACCTTTCCGCAGATCGCTACGTTGGCCCCCCCAAGCAGCCCTCGAAAGTGGCGACAGTTTCTCAGATCGCAGCCCCCCCCCCCCAGGCACGGCGAGGTCTTGCTCAGATCCGCGCGGTGTCCGCTGGACCCACCAGCAGCCCTCGAAATTGGCGACAGTTTCGCAGATCGCGGCCCCCCAGGCACGGCGAGGTCTTGCTCAGATCCGCGCGGTGCTTCACTCCGCAGGACCCACCAGCAGTCCTCGAAAACGGCGACAGTTTCGCAGATCGCGCCCCCCAAGGCACGGCGAAGTCTTGCTCAGGTCCGCGCGGTGCTTCACTCCGCAGGACCCACCAGCAGCCTTCGAAAACGGCGACAGCTTCGCAGATCGCAGCCCCTCAGGGAAGGCAAGTTTTTGTTCAGGTCCGCGCGGTGCTTCACTCCGCAGGACCCACCAGCAGCCCTCGAAAGTGGCGACAGTTTCGCAGATCGCAGCCCCCCAGGGACGGCGAAGTCTTGCTCAGATCCGCGCGCGCGCCTCACTCCGCAAGACCCCCAGCAGCCTTCGAAAGTGGCGACAGTTCCGCAGATCGCAGCCAGCCCCCCCCCCCCCCCAGGCACGGCGATGTCTGCTCTATACCGCGCGGTGTCCGCAGGACCCACCATCAGACACGCTCGAAATTGGCGACAGTTTCGCAGATCGCAGCCCCTCCAGGCAACGGCGAGGTCTTGCTCAGGTCCGCGCGGTGGACTACACATCCTCTCCCGCATGACCCACAAGCAGAGCCCTCGAAAGTGGCGACAGTTTCTAAGATCGCAGTCCCACAGGGATGGCGAGGTCTCCTGGTGATCTGGGTAAGACATCACTTTCCTGGACCCCCCAGCAGCCCTCGAAAGTTGCGACCGTTTCGCAGATCGCATCCCCCCAGGCCCGAGGAGGTTCTTGCTCAGTCCGCGCCGGTGCTTCACTTCCGCAGGACCCACCAGCATCCCTCGAAAGTTGCCGACAGTTTCGCAGAAACGCAGCCCCCCCCGGCGCGTGCGAGCTCTTGCTCAGAAGCGCGCGGTGGGCTTTCTTACGCAGGGCCCACCAGCGCCATCTGTGTGGCATCATTTCGCAGATCGCAGCCACCCAGAGACAGCGAGGTCTCGCTCAGATCCGCGCGGTGCCTCACTCCGTCAAGGTCCTCCCATCAGCCTCTGAGATTGGGGGGGGTTTCGAGCAGATCGCAGCCCCCCAGGCACGGCGAGGTTTTGCTCGGATCCGCGCGGTGCCTCACTCCGCAGGACCCACCAGCAGCCCTCGAAAGTTGCGACAGTTTCGCAGATCGCAGCCCACCAGGCACGGCGAGGTCTTGCTCAGATCCGCGCGGTGCCTCACTCCGCAGGACCCACCAGCAGCCCTCGAAACTGCCAACAGTTTTGCAGATCGCAGCCCCCCAGGCACGGCGAGGTCTTGCGCAGGTCCGCGCGGTGCCTCACTCCGCAGGACCCACCAGCACCTTCGAAAGTGGGCGACAGTTTCGCAGAGCAGCACATGACAGCACGGCGAGTCTTGCTGTGGAGATACGCATGCAGCACTGCTCCGCAGGACCCCAAGCAGCCTCGAAAAGTGGCGACAGATTCGCAGCTCGCAGCGCCCAGCACGGGCGAGGTCCTTGCTCGTGCGGTAGAGAGGGTGCCCCCTCACACCCGCGCCACCCGCAGGACCCACCAGCAGTCCTCGAAAACGGCGACAGCTTCGCAGATCGCAGCCACCCAGGCACGGCGAGGTCTTGCTCAGGTCCGCGCGGTGCCTCACTCCGCAGGACCCACCAGCAGCCCTCGAAAGTGGCGATCATTTCGCAGATCGCAGCCCCCCCAGGCACGGCGAGGTCTTGCTCAGATCCGCGCGGTGCTTCATTCCGCAGGACCCACCAGCAGCCTTCGAAAGTGGCGATCGTTTCGCAGATCGCAGCCCCCCAGGCACGGCGAGGTCTTGCTCAGATCCGCGCGGTGCTTCATTCCGCAGGACCCACCAGCAGCCTTCGAAAGTGGCGACAGATTCGCAGATCGCAGCCCCCCAGGCACGGCGAGGTCTTGCTCAGATCCGCGCGGTGCCTCACTCCGCAGGACCCACCAGCAGCCTTCGAAAGTGGCGACAGTTTCGCAGATCGCAGCCCCCCAGGCACGGCGAGGTCTTGCTCAGGTCCGCGCGGTGCCTCACTCCGCAGGACCCACCAGCAGCCCTCGAAAGTGGCGACAATTCGCAGATCGCAGCGCCCCAGGCACGGCGAGGTCTTGCTCAGATCCGCGCGGTGCCTCACTCCGCAGGACCCACCAGCAGCCCTCGAAAGTGGCGACAGTTTCGCAGATGGCAGCCCCCCCGGCGCGGCGAGGTCTTGCTCAGATCCGCGCGGTGCTTCATTCCGAGGACCCAACAGCAGTCCTCGAAAACGGCGCCAGTTTCGCAGATCGCAGCAGCCCCCCAGGCACGGCGAGGTCTTGCTCAGGTCCGCGCGGTGCCTCACTCCGCAGACCACCAGCAGCCTTCGAAAGTGGCGATCGTTCGCAGATCGCAACCCCCCAGGCACGGCGAGGTCTTGCTCAGATCCGCGCGGTGCTTCATTCCGCAGGACCCACCAGCAGCCCTCGAAAGTGGCGACAGTTTCGCAGATGGCAGCCCCCCCGGCACGGCGAGGTCTTGCTCAGATCCGCGCGGTGCTTCATTCCGCAGGACCCACCAGCAGCCTTCGAAAGTGGCGACAGCTTCGCAGATCGCAGCCCCCCAGGCACGGCGAGGTCTTGCTCAGATCCGCGCGGTGCCTCATTCCGCAGGACCCACCAGCAGCCCTCGAAAGTGGCGACAGTTTCGCAGATCGCAGCCCCCCAGGCACGGCGAGGTCTTGCTCAGGTCCGCGCGGTGCCTCACTCCGCAGGACCACCAGCAACCCTCGAAAGTGGCGACAGATTCGCAGATCGCAGCGCCCCAGGCACGGCGAGGTCTTGCTCAGATCCGCGCGGTGCCTCACTCCGCAGGACCTACCAGCAGCCCTCGAAAGTGGCGACAGTTTCGCAGATCGCACCCCCCCAGGGACGCGACCACAGGGGGGGGGCGGGAGGAGGACGCGACCTTACCCTCTATTCAAAAAGAATACCCAACCAAGGAGGGTTGGGAATAAAGCAACAAGAAGCGACCGCCGGCCCCTCCCATCAGAGGGCATGCATGTCCCCTCCATTTTGGGAGGAGGGGGGGAGGGCAATACAATGTTGAAAGGCGCAAAAGACGCCCCTACCATGATTTACGAGGTGCTGCGCGCTGAACCTCGTGTGGGCTGACAGGGTAAACCCTCCGTAGCGCGCATGTCGCGCGGCGTCCCGGCGGATCTCTGGCCCTCTGGAGATCCCAAGAGGTTCACAGACTACGCTCTTGTCACCCAGGGCAGCGGCGTGTTTTTTCCACCTTCAAAACATGGACGATGCGTAGAAGCACACCTGTTCCGTCGGCGGCGAGGCAGAGAAGCTGCTCCAGCGGGCGGCGATTCGGGGCAACCGATACTCTCATCGGGTGGCGTGCAAGGGGTAGGAAAAAGACAGACAGGGCGGCCGCGAAGGACGGGAGGAGGCGGAGAGCCACGCAGACGCGGAAGATTTCCATGCCGAGTGGGCGGGTGCGGCCAGCAGCGGCAGCGGGGCCGTGGCAGCAGCCGGGCCGCGGCGTCGGTGCACCCACGGGCGCTGCCGGTGCCCCGCGTACGAAGTAGAGCAAGGCGTAAACATACACAACCACGATCTGCCGCCCGCCCCCCACTGCCCCGGCAGCCCCCGCCACGCCCTGCCGCAGGAGCGGCGGTCCGCCCGCGAGTCGGCGAGGAGCGGCGCGTGCGGCGGGCCACCGCCGGGCCCCCCCCCCTGCACGCAGCGTGTGGCGGCGGCGAGCGAGGGGGGGGGGAAGCGAGGGGAAGGCACCCTCCCCAGACCCCCATCGACCTCGGCCTCCTCCACGCCGACGTCGCCCATGCGTCGCCCACGTCGACGATGCATCGGCGATGCTTTGACCTCATCTACTCGGACCCCATCTAGGAGGCCTCTACAAGACCCCCTCGATCCGCGCTGGGCCCCCCCAGCGGCGCCTCCGGCGCCGTCCCTGCCGCGCTCCGCGCGCCAGAGAAAGGAGTCCAGTCCAGCGCGGATCCAAGAAATCCGCGCGGAGCGCCAAATGTTTCTGTTAATGTTTTTTTTCTGCCCGAGCAATGGCAAAGTCACGACAACAGGTTTTTTAATGTTCGGCCTCGGGGAGCCCTCGCTGGGCCTCGGGGCCGTCAAGAAGAATTTGCTCGGAATGAAAAGCCTTTCCCGGGAATGGTCGAGCCTTTCGGGGGGTTGATGTTGTGACAAAATCATGCTCGCGGCGGCGAGCAAGGGGAAAAGTGAGAAGGAGAAGGCCTGCTGCGGGGCTTCTCAGAAGCCCTCCAGCCTTTGAGAGCTTTTCGGTGTTTCCGGGCGAGACTTTGAAAGTTCCGAGCCTTCTGAAAAGGCCTGCCGCTTCTCATTGGCCCTCTGGGCTCGCCGCCGACAGTAGGAGATCGACTACGGAATTGGTTTACCACAAAATTTGATTTTCGAGTCGAACCTACGAACAAATAGCGCGGAATGCTCTGTATATCTACAGGGACTTGACACAGTTGCTCCCAGGTTTTACGAACAAAACAGCATATGTACGGGGATTCGACGCAGTTGTTCGCAGGTTTTACGAACAAAACAGCTCCGAGCTAAGTCAATTCCGTTGTCGATGTCAACTCGAACGTAAGAGCGACTTCTCCCAGAGTGACGTTTGGTGCGGGCCCGCTCGCGGGGATCCGCCAACGTTGTGGCGACCTCACCACGTGGTGAGACAGTTGGGAGCGCGGTTTTATTGGGCCGTTCTCCGAAAACGTCTCGGACGACTGGGGCCTCCAGGGTCCCAGGTCTCTTGGGATTCCGAGGCCACCAAACGGTTCGTCATCACACAGTCCTGAGACCCCCCATACGTGGGCTCCTTGATGGCTGAGCGAGATGCAGCGGCTTTCGCGTGTGGTTTTGGCCCGCCCTCGCGCACCCCCCCTGAAGCCGCGCCCTCGAGGTCACTCCTGCCCAGGGCCACTTCCGCGTGCAGCCGACCCGGGCAAGGGGCGGGGGCCCAGAGGCCCTGGAGACGGAAGCTGCGGCAGGCTCGCGCCCCGTCGGCGCGGCGGCGCTCCCAGCGCGGGCGTTGCAGGTTGAGCGCCGCCAGCGGTTTGGAATCGGGCGACGTCGGACGATCCGCGCTATCGGAATGCCGCGGCCGCTCAAGGTTGATAGATCCACGTGGTGTCGTAAACCAACGCGCAAGTCGTCACGACACGAACCCGCCGTACACGTCACTCGTTCGCGCGTAGGAGTGGTCCTTCATTGGAGTGGCCTTACCTGCTCGAGAGCCAGGCGTTACAACTACCTTACACCGGGCGTTCTTGCCCAGGTTCGGGCCCCAGGATCCACGTTGATCGATCCAGCTCGAGAAGTGCCACAGGAAGAGCATGTATAGGGCTCCAGCCATAACTTTTCACGATCTTGTTTGTTCTTGCGACGTCGGATCTCAGGGTTTGATGCGGGCCTACAGGGGTCCCCCAGCATTGACCTGCGCGCGTGGATTTGGCCCCACGCGGCCCCCTTGAAGACGCGCACCAGAGGTCACTACTGCCTAGGGCCACTCTTGCGTGTAGCCGAGCCTCCGCCATGCGTGGCCGGGGCCGTCACCAGGCGCTCCGACTGGATTGGCCCAGGGGGGAAGCATCGACCCCCAACCGCACATCCCTCGCAGATCGGGGCATGGGTGCCCGAATCTGCCTAGGATCGTGGGGGAGTCCAAGCGGGGGCGTATCGCTGGTCAGTATGCGATGCATCGTGGGTTCCAGGTCTCGGCGACAACATCTATACGCCACCGCCAACCCTCGAGGGATGAACAACACCCAAGCTCCAGAACTGGCGGTTATTATTCAGTCCTGGGCGACTTTCTCAGCAGTCTTGCCATGTTCGATTGATCCTTCTGCGTTCACCAGAAGGCTTCGCCTGCAGGGGTGTTTGCTGTGAGGGTGGTCCTCTGGCCGTCTGACCCCCAGCCAGGGCCGTCATGGGCCCTGCGTTGGTGCGCACAGCCTCCTGCTTTCGCAGGGATCGACCTAAACGGTGTTCTGACGATGCCGTGGGCCGTTTTCGTTTCGGTGTCGTCTTGCAGCAGGTGCGGAACGAGGGAAAACGAAAACAAAGCGGAAAAACGAAAATCAGTGTTTCGGTCGATCCTTGCTGGGTCCCAGGACAGCCCTCGAGCCAGGGGGACCGCGGCGGTGTGCAGCTGCCTCCGGTGGCCTGGACACGGGCGCCTCTCCCCACCTCATGTTCGGCCGGAGAGCTCCGCCGCCGCCGCCGCCGCCGCCGCCGCCGCCGCCGCCGCCGCCGCCGCCGACGACGACGACGACGACGACGACGACGACGACGACGGTGACAACGACGACGACGTCATCGACGGCGGCGACGGCGGCGGCGGCGACGGCGCCTGCTGCGGTGGCGGCGGCGGCGGAGTGCGGCCCCCGGGACCGTCAGCAGACGGCTCGGGACGAGAAGATCCGACCTTGGGGAGAGCCCCCCGGCGGAGGGGAAGAAGGCGAGGACCGTGGCCAGGGCTGGCGCGGAAGCGTCGTACCGATCTTGATCACCGTCGGTTGTGGCCATCCTCGCTAATAGGCGACGGCCGACACGGATCATGATCAGGATTGGCATCGACAAGATCCCGCGGCATCTTGGTCATGGCCCCCGCGATTCTTCCCTCGACAGGGGGCATCCAGGGCCCGTTTACTTCGGAACTCTTGCTTCCCCTCCTCCTCCTCCTCCTCCTTCCCTCACGACGAGCGTTTGCTTCGCAAGGGGGGGATGCGACTGCGCAAGCGTGGCCGTGCGTTGCGGCAGGAGCGCGAAGGGCCGCCATCTCGCCAAGCTTCGGACCGTTGGGGTAGGGGTCCTCCTCCTCCTCCTCCTCCTCGAGCGGGGAAGACTTCTTGGAAGCATCCCTGCTTCTTTGAGGGCACGGGCCTTGTCTATAGGTGTACTTCACTTTGACTGTCTTGAAGCTGTCCTCTCCACTGCTCGTGCAAACATCGCACCCTCCCAGCCGCAACTTGGTCGCAAGACCTCGAAGACCGTGACGGTAGGTACCAAATGGCACTTGGCAACGACGCCGACGACGACAGCGGCAACGACGACGACGACGCCGACGACGACTACGACGATACCGACGATGACTCCGACGACTTCGACGACGACAACGACGACGACGACGACGACGACGGCGTTGACGCCGACGCCGACGCCGACGACGACGACGACGATGACGACGCCGACGACGACGACGCCGACGACGACGACGACGACGACGCCAACGAAGACGACAACGACGAGGGAGGAGGGAGGACGACGACGGCGACAACGACGACAACGACGAGGGAGGAGGGAGGATGGCCACGACGCGAACGACGAAGAAGGAGGGCGGCCGGTGACGCCGACGATGACAACGACGAGGGAGGAGGGAAGACGGCGACGACGACAGCGACGAAATAGGAGGGACGACGACGAGACACCGACGACGGACGACGACGACGACGACGACGACGAGGGAGGAGGAAGGACGACCACGGCGATAATGACGACGGAAACGACGACAACGCCAAAGAGGACGACGACTGCGCCGACGAGGAAAGACAGAGGACCACGACGACGACGACGAGGGAGGAGGAGGGAGGACGGCGACGACGACGACGCAAGAGCGCGCGCGCACGCTTTTGTTGAACATCCGTGTTGCGAAACCCTGTGTTTTTGTATGTTGTTTGGACACTCGATTTTGAAATCCTTCCGAAACCGAAGGTTTTTGAAACATTTCGGCATGCGCGCGCGACGACGCGCGCGCGCGCACTTCGTCCCATTTGTTGCAGAGGACTCTCGCGACGGCACGTGCGCAAGGGCGTTCGAACGATTTTGGCAAGCGCGCGCGCGAAGCCCGTTGGGTAGCATGTTCTGAAAATATTGAACAACTTATGGTTATTTCAAGATTTCGCAAGAGCGCGCGCGTGAGCTTTTTCAGAACACCCGTGTTGCGAAACCATGTATGTTGTATGTTTTAAGAAGTTCGATGTTGAAATCCTTATGAAACCGAAAGTGTTTGAAGGATTTCGGCATGCGCGCGCGACGTCGCGCGCGTGTGCACTTCGTCCCTGTTGTATTCTTGAAACTTTAGGATATGCGATAAACGAGTGTGCGGTAATAGTATTGTTTGCCAGGGGACTTGGGGCAGAATTATATGTAAATTGCAATACGACAAGGGGGGTCTTTAAGTCGGGGGGGGAGGGTGGTAGAACTTTTTTCTTTGGGGGGGTAAGGAGAATTAAGGCTGGCGCCTTCTGAGAAGCAGCCTCCCAAGAAGCCTTCCCCGCTCCCCCTGATTACACCCCTCTGCGCGCCGCCAGGGGAGGGCCTTCCTCCACCAGGGCCCAGGCCCAGCCCACCTGGTCCTCGGCGGCGGTGCCTGCCTCCTCCCCTGCCGCCGCTGCCAGCTCTTCCCCGCCCCCCCTTGCTTCTTCCTCGTAGCGCTTGTCCTCTCCTCCCCCTCCCTCCTCCACCCCACCCCTGCTCCTCAATCCTCCCTCCCTCCCTCATCTCCCCCTCTCCCGCGCTCCTCCTCCTCCGCCTCCTCCTTCCTCTTCCTCTTCCTCTTCCTCCTCCTCCTCCTCCTCCTCCTCCTCCTCCTCCTCCCTTTAGGGGGGGCCCATCCGAGGGAGA